TGTCACTGTGTGACGGCCTGGCTACAGTAATATACCCACAGTGAGTGCATCATGGTCACAGCATCCTCCATCACTGAGCTCTCACAGAGCTCTCACTGGGCTCACCTGGAGGCAGCCCCGGCTTCCCACAATACCTCACGGTAAATTCAATGGAAGCAGCAGGCAGACTGACTGTGATCAGCCAGAAGGAGAGGGCAGGAGTGAGTAAGGGAGGGAGAAGGAAGGAGGGAGGGAGGCCAGCTAGCTGTGAGTGGGAGGGATCAGGGAGCACAGGCCATTTCCTGTTCAGGGTGGTGATAGTGAAAATGTGGAAAAAGAAAGCAGTGAGTGCAGCAGACAATGGTGAGGTTTGCTCTCCAAGTAGGGACTGCGGCAGATGTTGATTCGTAGGGCACCAGAGGGGACTGGCTGCCATCTGTCTGCATCATTTGGTGTCACCTGGCTGGACCTGGGCTCACTCAGAGATAGCATCCCAGGGCTCACTCAGAGCTGGCACTCGGGGCTCACTCAGAGATAGTATCCCAGGGCTCACTCAGAGATAGCATCCCAGGGCTCACTCAGAGATAGCATCCCAGGGCTCACTCAGAGTTGGCACTCGGGGCTCACTCCAGGGCTCACTCAGAGATAGCATCCCAGGGCTCACTCAGAGATAGCATCCCAGGGCTCACTCAGAGCTGGCACTCGGGGCTCACTCAGAGATAGCATCCCAGGGCTCACTCAGAGATAGCATCCCAGGGCTCACTCAGAGATAGCATCCCAGGGCTCACTCAGAGATAGCATCCCAGGGCTCACTCAGAGATAGCATCCCAGGACTTCATTGAAGAAAAGTAATCAAAGCACTGAAACTATCCTGATGCCACATTATATCGAGACCCAGATAACATTATTTAACCTTCACCTACTACAGGCTGGACCTGTGTGACTTCTGTGATATTGTCTGGTCAGTAGAAAGAGCTGCTAAAAACTGAAATATAGTCTGAAAGTGTAAAGAAGGCTCCAGGAGAAGTAGATTGTTGCCTGAAAAGCATACGGTCAGATGTTGCTAGATCGTTCTTGCAGGTAAGGTTGTTTCTCACAGGTGTGTTTATAGTACATAGGCAACACATATGGGGGATTAGGTAGTCACATTGGAAAAAGGCTGCTTTGAAAGGCAAACGTTGAAACACGAACTGCCTGAAGTACATTGTTTACAGTAATATGTATCATTCAACTTCAGGAAGTCTAATCACTTGGTTTAGGGTTTTTTTCTGTTTAATTGTATTTTTAGTTGCTATTCAATTAGGATGTTACTGGCAACTAAAAATATAATTCTAGTTCTGCATTTTATGTCTTTCTAGTATTGCGTAACTAATGTAGATTTACCATACCTAAATTATTTTCTGTTTCTCACCCAGGGGCTTAAGTTACTAACGTGTCATTTATTTTAACCCCTTCAGCACCAGAGTTAGGCAAATCCTTTAATTTTGTGGAGCAATCACGGTGTAGTCAAATACATAATATTTATTTATAAAATATTTTACCAGGAAAGATACATTAAGATTTCTCTCGTTTTCAAGTATGTCCTGGGTCCACAAAACATTGCATTGTTACAATTAGGGTACAATAAAATACAAAAACAATATTAATACACAATAAATACAATATTTAACATAGAACAGGCAGGAAATATATAATCAACCATGATATGTTAGATTTCGCATTTTGTCTTGTACCTACTCCAATGTTGCCTTTAGAAACATAGACAAACACAGTGCGGGCCAAAACTCAGAGTAAGGTTTGAGGAGTCAATAACTTTTTAATTTTTTTTTTATTATTAATTAACCAATTTCAATGATATTGCATACAATGAATACTTAACATATGGCAATTTGTTTGACTAGTTACAGAAAATGATCTCTTTTAAATGAGCCCCATTTGCCACCTCACAAAGTTAATTGTTTCCTCTGGCTAATTTCTTGTTCCTTGTTGAAATTACTCATGATGAATCTCCCAAGATTCAGTTATAATTTGTACTTGCCACAAAAAAAATTGAACTACTAATAAATAGGTGATATACCTGTCAAATTCTACTCTGAATTTTGGCCCACCCTGTATATGCTTATTTGGCTGTTAAATCGTGATATGCCATCCCACACCTATTTGTGATTTATCATATATACAGAGTTAAAATTCAAATGTTATGGAAAGGAAACTGTTATATGAAACATACATTTACGACAAATATTTGCGAGATGCTGTGGTCAATCATGGCTTACAAAACACGGCAAGTGAGTGGAGGGGTATATTTCTGACCCTTGTTTTCCTTCCATACACACACAGACAATGGTATGTGTGTCCCTCGTCTGTTCATTACCCATTCACTACCTTCACATGGATTATGTAACCTTCAGAGTGTTTTCCAAGGACATTGCTAATAGAAACATTCCAGATGTTAAGACCTAACAAAATAATAATTTTAAATCATACATGAACAATCGGGAGGAATGCTTGGGGCTTTTGTTTTAATCTTTCAGGTAAAGTCAGGGCTTAGCACAGGACAGCTGATTAGGAGCTTCAGACTATCCATCGCCAGTAGTGGAGGCAAGGTGCAGTGCCCACTCAAACCGTTCTAAAGCGATGTTGACTACTTTCAAGGGGAGAGGAGCAACAGGGCACTCCTGGGACAGTAACCACTACAGCAAGCTTGCAGGATACCTTTCATTGGAACACTATGGGCACCATAACAACTTCATTCAAATTAACCGCTCACAGTGTAACTCAAAAGTCTGTCCTCCAGTACCTGATTGCTTTTCACCCCTGTATTTCTGGGAAGGAAGCGCCAGGAACCTCATAGTACAAACTTGATTTTGACGAAGCTGGTATGGGGCCCGGAATGTTCTTTCAATATCTGATGCTTCAAAAGTTTGGTTTAAAGCTCCTCTGTCAGTACAGAGACTGGTTTATTTTAGTTTTTAGGTTTTTTTCCTCTCTCTTGGGCAGTCTATTGTATTTCGTCATGTGCATGGCCCTTTTTTGACCCCATTTCTTGGAAGACTTTATCATTTAAAAATGCTGTTTTTGTTAAACATAACTTTGCAAGACTATAAAAAAAAAAAAAATTGTTCCTGGAAATAGAGTAATAATCAAGAAAAGATGAGTCATGAACTTCAGATGCTTTTGATCAAAACTCAACCGAACCACCTCATTGCTGGACTAGTATGAATGCTGTTGATGTGCTCTTCCTGTGATTAATACTTTGTTTGTTTGTTTTTAGGTGCATTTTCTGCCCTTCACATTCTTCAGCTGGCTCAGCATGACAGGAGTATTTCTGGGTGTCCTGTTCTTCTAATGCAAACTACAGCAGTTCAACTCAATCAAATCTGTGTATGTATGGAGCTAACAAAAGCATGTACTTTAGAATGGCAGGCTTGCAGGGATACTGTGTGCATCAAAATAACTTTAGCTTAGATACGCAGTTTTAGTGTATAGATCATGCCCATGCAGTGTGTCTACTCATTTCTCTGCAATTTAGGCTGCGTGGTTTCATTTTCAACCAGATCATACAGCACAGTGGGTTTGCTTTTGAAGTGATTATCTTCTGCTCTGTTAATTGAACTTTAAAGGGACACTATAGTCACCCAGACCACTTCAGCTCAATGAAGTGGTCTGGGTGCCAGGTCCCCCAGGTTTTAACCCTTCAGATGTAAACATAGCAGTTTCAAAGAAACTTCTATGTTTACATAGCAGGGTTTATCCAGCCTCTAGTGGCTGTCTTCCTGACAGCTGCTAGAGGCGCTTCTGCAAAGCTGGATGCGAAGTTCCAGCATGCATAACGTCCATAGGAAAGCATTGAGAAATGCTTTCCTATGGACTGTTTGAATGTGCGCATTCCGCTCCACTCAGGAGCTGACATCGGCGGGGGAGGAGAGGTCACCAGCGCCGAGGAAGCCCCGCGCTGGATTAAGGTAAGTAACTGAAGGGGTTTTAACCCCTTTAGTGCCAAGGGAGGGTGGCCCTGAGGGCAGGGGAGAGGGGGGAGTTCTAAGGATGCTATATTGTCAGGAAAACAAGTTTATTTTCCTGACACTATAGTGATCCTTTAATCACACACAGGAGGCTCCTGCAGGCTATTAAAGTAGTTCTGTCATGGCATACCTCTCCTAAAATACATAACTTAAATTAGGGATTACTTTGATTTATGTATTTTTCCTACACCTGAAAAAACTTGACAGAAGGTGAAGCTACCGTCAAGTTTTGTCATTTCTCCTACCCGACGCCTGTGGGGGAAAATACATTGTCTATGGAGGCACCTGTGGATCTTGTGGGATCCTCCAAAGACCTCAGTTTATCATCTGCATTGGCCCCTGGCAGATGAATATGCCTGGAGCCAAAGAAGATACCGTGAAAGAAGATGGCAGCAGCCACAAGTGACAGCTTCAGGTAAATAAAATATATCTTACCCTGTGGTCACCACACTCCAAGCAGCAAAGTCCAAGCAGCAAAGTCTGCAAAGACTTTAGAAGGTGACAGAACCACTTTAACAAAGCAGGAAATGTAAACATTAGATTTTTCTTTACACCAAGTGTAGGAAAGCTGTGTTAGTCACAGCCAGGGGAGGTGTGGCTATGGCTGCATACACAAAGTTATTTAACTCCCAAATAGCAGAGAAGTGAGACTGCAGGGGCTTGTTTTTTAACCAAAACTGCTTCTTTGAGTTCAAGCTGTTTTGGCGCTTTGAGTGTCCTCTAGACTGCGGGCATCAACTCAACCTTTATGCATAAGATAGCTTCTGGTCTCAATAATATGTTGTATTTTTTGCAGGCTCATATCCGTCTAGTTTTTTGCAAGAAAAAAAAAAAGTTTGCACAATTCTTCACCTTTAAATATCTTTGCAGTTTTTACTATTATTTTGTGTGTGTTTGCACTGTTTCTTTTAATTTGTATTTTGTAGAAAAATCACTATTAAATGGTCAGTATAAGCACCACAAGCACCTTTCATTACTTAGAGCAGCCTGCGCCCTCACTTGAATGGCTGAAAGAGGCAGCGATTTGAAAAAATACTAGTACAAGGCCGCCCACCAGGGTAGTTAGTCAACCTTCTTGGAGCTCCAGCTATAGACTATTAGTGCTGATTTTTATTGTATATGCTGTGTACATGAACAATACGGAATACGGAAGGCTCCCCTGTCTTTCTCAGAGAGTGTGTGCCGAGCTGTGGATCACACATGCATACTGTACATAAACTTATGGCAGCTGTGGTATGTTTCCAATAATTGTATTGTGTGGTTATTAAGTGTTCTTGCATAGCAAGACCACTTAATGTTATCTCACATATATATTATTCTTATTATAGCCAAATTTACCACCCTAACTCCTCCCACAGTTTTTACACTACATAGACAGTAATATACTGAAACGTGTGGATTGTTCCCGATTGGATTGCTATTACTTTGTGGAACGTTTCGCCAAATGGTTCACGGAATATCGTTGTTGTTGTGGCGAAATTGGTCCCATAGGAATGAATGACAAAATGTTCAAAACTAGAGTGGGAGCTGGCAAAAGCTGAAAAATCAGGACATGATTTCTAAACTGCCACCACTCCCTCATTTTCAAGCCCACATACACAAATCTTATATAAAAACGTTCAGCTATCTTTGCTGCCACTAAACATGTCCACGGCTAAGCCATAGTCCTGATAGTTTTCACAATATGACCATTTGTTTGCAACTCACGCCATCCATTGACATTCATTGAAACTCCCCTCTAGCCAGCTCAAATTTGATAGGCAATTTCTAAACTGCGACTGTTCCTTTATTTTTAATATTTCAGAGACATACTATGCATCAAAATGTAGGTCTGGGTCTTGTGATTCTCACAATATAAAGCTCTTTGCTGTAAGATTTATAGTTTTTAAAATACGACCGTTTGAAGATGGCAACCGCCAAAATACTCTGACCTGTGTCAGGCTGCAGCAGCAAGTTATGTCATAGACAGGGCCTTTTGTACACCTAATGTTTTTATAAATGTTTGTTTTAATGTAACTGTGAAGCACTTTGGGTAACAACGTTTCAATTAAATGTGCTATATAAATAAATAATAGTTACTCCTCCCACTCCAGTTGTAGACTACTGGTGGAAGCAAGAACACTTCACACAATTTCCCCAGAAATTGTAGCTTTTCTAGTTGTAACTGCTCTTAAAATAAACTACTTATCCCTTAGACCTCTTGTTGTATGGAGGTTAATGGGTAAATATCAGTTTCATAGACCAGAATGATATGCTGCTGATTGGAGAGTTTATTTGTGGTGTGTGTGTGTGTTTGTGTGGGTGGTCTGCTCAGCCACCTAAGTATGTGTCTATGTATTGGTATTTTCTAAGGAATTGCTGGATATTATTTTTATTTTTACTCCATGTTTTGGCCAAGGTGAATGATAGTCTTATTTTCCTTGTTTAGGGGCACATTAGCCATTTGTTCACCACCCAGAGAAGAATCAAGACATGAAGCTTAATGAAAAAAACCTGGTATATTATGCTACCTGCAAATCTCCCGTGGACAAAAGTGGATTCTTGTCCAAGCGAGGTGAGCGCCATTCGGCCTATCATAAACGGTGGTTTGTGCTGAAGGGCAACATGCTATTTTATTATGACAATGAAGAAAGCAAAGAGCCGGTCGGTGTTATTATACTGGAAGGATGCAGAGTTGAGCTGTGTGAATCGACTGAAGAATATGCTTTTGCGATCAAGTTTGAATGTACTAAATCACGGGCCTACATTCTAGCTGCTGACTGCCAGAGTTCTATGGAATCCTGGGTAAAAGCACTCACTAAGGCAAACTTTGAATATATTAGACTTGTTGTTAAAGAGCTCCAGAAACAACTTGCAGAGGTACAGAAGAACCCTAACTTGTGTTCTAAAGCCAGGGTTTTAACAGATCTAAATTTAATAAATACCAGTTCACATAGTGAATCCCATATAATACCTCCAAATCTTCAAGACTGTTCACTTCAAAAGGACAATGGCTGTGCCACGTGGGACAACAAACAAAATAACTTGTGTAATGGAATTCAATATGGTAATAGACCAAAATGTCAAAACACCAGAGAAATTCCAGATGTTGTGCTAGGTGCCTCTGATGCACATCAGTTGTCTTCAAGCAATCCTCTGGAGGCTGGCAGTGGTCCAGACCAGGCACATGTACCCGCTGAGGATGAAGGCATTAGCTTTTCACAGCTCCACCATCTATTTGGAGAAGAGATTGTGGACATTAGAATCAAGTGGACTCAAACCATCCCAATAGCAAATGAAGCCTGTGGAGTCTCTGAATAAAGACCAAAATGACTTCATGAGTCACAAAGGCAGTCTGCTGTGTGGGCATTAGATCACACGGATTATTTCATAATCGCAAGTGAAGCACAATTAGCTATTTAACTGTTTTCTTGCCAGAGGGTACAAGAACACTTTAAACAAAAACAAAATGACCCTTTTTTTTCTGGTGATTCCTTGTTATTGGAAAAGCTGTTTAGAATTTACTGTTATCAATGGTATGACAGATTCTTGCACAATGGTACTGCTGAAATTTTTGTAGGTCAATTAAGTAATTCATTATTGTTGAGAATCTTCAGGAATCCAAAGTGTATTACAGTTTTTAGACCAACAACAGCTGACTGAATTGGTTAAAAATATAAAATTCACTTATGTTTTCGGTTTGGCTATTTTAACCTAAAATTTACATTTACTTTGAATTTGTGACAAGGCACACTTTGGTGAATAACCTAATATGTTTTACCCTTTTTGTAGAACGATTTTCACTGCATTTTTATTCTGATAATTGGATTGAACTTGAAAATGTGGTATTATTGTAGCAAGTAATTAAATTACAATTTTTATTCAATCTTTTTAAAGACAAATAAAGTATCTTAAACTGAATTACTTGTTAAATATAAAAGCCTATATGTAGGCTGATGTTACGTTTTCCTTGTGCTCACAGTTTTCACGTTAAAAGTAAATCACTACAGAAATTAGAATCTTTACATTATGATTACTCTTTAAAGTAACATTTTGAGCACCATAACCACTACAGCTTGTAATGGTGCCAGGAATGTCCTGACACCCCCATTGTAAATAGTCAAACCTTTTTTGAACGCTGGCTTCGCTCAAAGGGGGTTACTTCCAGCTCTCTGTCTGAAGTAGTGTAGGCGAGGACGCTCTAAAACACTTTGACTACTCACAAAGGGTGCACTAGGGCACTCCGGCACTATAACCACTAAAGCTCACTGTAGTGGTTATGGTAATTTGAGTGCTCCTTTTAGGAGGCAGCACAATCACTTAATTGTCTCTTTTATGTCACATATCTTATATGATATGCATGATTTCCAGAACATCAGTTAAATAAACCTAAAAAATAAGTTATTAAACAGTTTCTGGATCTATTTATCAGCAATAATATAGCTTCTTTATTATACAAAGAATGTAAATGTTATGTAGGCAGGTCAGGATGGCTATTTTAATTGTGTAATTTAAAAAAAAAATGTTTTTAATTTGTTGTATTTTCTCTTAACACATTAAGGGAAAGGTTTGTCCAATTTCTGTTCTAAAAGGTTAATAGGGCCCTCTAGGTACTTACACAAACTGGTTACAATGTGTATGTTAAGTCACAGGCATTTAGCCTCAATTTTCTTTTTGTTCTTTTTTTTTTATCTGTTTTCCTTTTTGTTTCAGAAGTATGGTTTTGTATTATGTCTTGACTTGCGTTGTTTGAGTCGTAGTTCCACTGACAAATAAACTACAACTACCCTAAAACAGTACCTATGGGAAACGCCATGGCAAGCATTAGTCCTCGTTTGAGAGCCAGTTTTGCAAGAAATGCAGGATTTTTTAATTGTGAGCATCTTTTATTTTTAATTTACTGTTTTTTCTCTTTTTAATGCACGGTGTGCTATTAGTGTTGTTCTCTAAATTCCAAATTAAATGTAAATTGTAAAACATAGGCACAAATTACTGTTTGCAATAAGTTCTCCAACTCTACTCTGAGAGTTTGCTAGTTTTAACCTGAATTTTACAATTGTTATGTAAATGGCTACATTCTGAGTTTAGTGAATAACCCTGTGTATGTTTTACTTTAACCCCTTAAGGACCAAAGTTCTGGAATAAAAGGGAACCATGACATGTCACACATGTCATGTGTCCTTAAGGGGTTAAAGGGACACTCCACTGCCCAAATACAAAAATATTGACAATCACTATATATTAGATATAACCCCAATGAAAACATGCATGCATTTAATTATATTTTTTTTTCACTCTGGATATATCTAAAAAGGCTGCAGAACCCTTGTCTGTTGCCTTTGTAACCCCCCACTTCTTCCACAGCCCAGAGTTTGGCTGTCCAATAACAGACCTCCCAATGTAGCTCAATAAGAAGTCTTTGCAAGGCAGATGCTCTGGGCAATTTCATACTTATTGAGTGTAGCTCCACTGAGCTAACCAAACCAGGAAGTAACAGGACCAGTTGTCTGCTTGAAAGCCAGGGAGGGCGTAACTAGGTTAATTTATAAAACGGCCAGTTTATATTAAATCTGCACTCTTTGTAAAATGGAAAAAAAAGTGGACATACTCTTTACACATAAAGCATTTCAGCAAGCGAAAGCACCTTAGTGGTCCCGAGTGTCACTTTTAAAGTAAGTAAGTAAGAGGGGGAAAAACTTGAAGTATTGAACACACATAGCCAATTCAACAGATATGTATGATAGTCCATTCCCATAGAAACACTGACCATGTTATTCACTAACTTGGCAATTGACCTAATAATTGCACATTTTGGCCCAAACTCAGCTACTTTTGTATTTTGGCTATGCCTGCCTACAATTTTCAATACGTTGCTAAACTCTTAGCAATATCTGTGAATGGAAAACACACAGCCGTTAATAATAATAATAATTTTTTAATTAATGGTGTAGCAATAATTTTCTATATTTCAACATAAATGGAAGACAGATGCTTTATGTCTCAGTTTAACCCTCTTTGACAGTTGTATCTATTTATTACCATTGTTATCAATTACTTTTTTGTGTATTTCGTTGTAACTTCACATTATAAAATTCTCACCAGAAAAAGTAAAAAAAAAAAAAAAAAGTTTTAGTTTATGTTTTAAGAATCAAAATGTACAAAAAAGTGTGAATAGTGGCACCTTTTGTTACAATGTTATTTAATATAGCAGCTGAAAAACACTCTGTGGGCACTCCAAAACAACCCACCAACAAAACACCAATCTAAGAAAGTGCAATGTTTAGGTGATATATGGTTATTCCTAATCCATAAAGTATGAGTGCAGCACTTTAAATATAAAATAGGGACTTACCTTTCAGTTTAATACATGTGTAAACAAGAAAAATGTAAAACATAGTGTAGTATTTTTGAAAGTGCAATGACTATAGAGGTGAGTGAAAATCAACTCACATGTGTTAGAGCCTTTTAACTGTATAGGCTCTAAACTAGATAGCCTTCTTGCTCTTTAGATGGCAATTTAACCTTTCTTCAGGGAGAATTTCACTCAGCAAATCCAAAGGGAATCTGTAAGATAGAAAACAGCAAGCAAAAAAATGTCCAGGAAGAAACTTCTGTTTTCCATTTTACAGATTCCCTTGGGATTTGCTGAGTGAAATTATTCCAGAAGAAAGGTCAAATTGCCATCTAAACAGCAAGAAGGCTATCTAGTTTAGAGCCTATACAGTGAAAAGGCTCTAATACATGTGAGTTGATTTTCACTCACCTCTATAGTCATTGCGCTTTCAAAAAATACTACACTATATTTTATATGTTTCTTGTTTCCACGTGTATTAAACTTTTATTGGAGCGGTAAGTCTCTATTTTATATTTAAAGCGCTGAACTCGTACTTTATGGATTAGGGATATATCACCTAAACATTGAGTGCACTTTCTTAGATTTAGGTTTTAAGAATGTTTCAGTTCTGCTATTTTGGTGGAAAGCTCTGTGCATGAGGAAGTTTTAATAAAATGTAACTTTAAGACTGAATAGGTTGCAATCACAATTCTATTTATGGAAAAGAGTCTAGTACATGTACCCCTTCTGTAACATCTATATATTTTAAACATTTACATTCCATAAATAACTGTGACAATATGTGATGTATGTACTGTTTTATAGAAAACTTGCCAATAAACCATTTGTATGCATTTACATTCTTATTTTTGTAATGTATTTCCACTATGTAGAATGAAGCTATTTATGCTTCTTTTTTACAAATATGAAACTAGTTATTTTTTATATAAATACATATATATCTCCTTTTCTTTTTCTTATGAATATATTTGTCAGCTTCTAACCTTTCCAGTACCAGGAGGATTTAGCCTAATGATAATTTCTGCTTGCTGTTGAGACTGTCACCATAACCATTACATTGAGGTGTGTCCTGTTTAATGTATACAGAGGAGCCTGTGTTAATTTGGGGGTGCCAAAAGCTTACCAGAGGTTCAGTGCACCTAAATCGTTAAAAGCAAACCTTCCTGTACTGACTGCGGCCAGGGGAGGAGGCTGGAGACAGTGCTGCTGGGTTCCTTTGGGGACAAAATTGGAGTTAAACCATTCAAAAATGTTTCACCCATGAAGGTAAGATTGCATTCAGTGATTCCAGTTCTAATAACAGTCAGTGGAGACGTGGCTAGAGCTGCAAAAACAAATTTTGCCACGTCAATGTAAAAATATTGAACAGTGAGAATGCAGGCGCATGATCTTACACTAAAACCACTTAATTAAGCTCAACTTGTTTAGGTGCTTAGAGTGTCTCTTTTTTTGAGGCCTTAGTCTGATTCAATAACATGTAAGCTGGGTGAAACTCCACCCATTTGTCTGCAAGTGAAGTCATAACTTTGTATTCTCTTTTCTGGAGTGGAACTAGGACAGGGATTTATTCTCTTTAAATCTGGATCATGAAGAGCTTTGATGCAATAAAATCTGCATTTTGGATTTGTCCTGGTCTGTAAAAGACAGTTGCGGAGCGTCTACCCAGTCTGGCATAAATAAAAATGGCAGAGCTTTAGTCCCAAGCAAAAGCAGTTGATAAAGGGTCTATCTACTCAGGATTAATGGTTTGGCTCGAAAACAGTATTGTTCTAAGGATGTAAGTTGACTGTGTGAAAAGGTCGGGCAGGGGGGATATATGAAAATGTTTTAGTTGATCGTAAAAGAACTGTTCCAGTATAGTTGTCTTCCGTGGATCAAGGCAGCAGTTTGTCACAAGAACTGAGGGACCTCACAAAAAAGGGTTTGACTTTAGTATAACGATATTAAGGCCTGCTGGTCAAGCCCAGCCAGAAAGAAAGATAATTCATCAGCGCATACAAAGGGTCATACCAAGTTGAGAGGGACAATTGTTTACGGGCATACTAAGTTTTAAAGAAAGAATTTAAAAAATGGGTGAAACTTAAAAGAACACCACACTGGTGAAATGGGCAAAAAATAGAAATCACTGTTTAGTAAATACACCACAATGAATCTTCATCTCTTCACTGGGAAATAGTCTCCCAGAGATTTCTCATTAAAGAAGCCTCTAAAGGTTTCCCTTCGTGCGCGCGTGAGCGAGCAGCATACTGATATGAGGTCTGTGGGCGCTGGTCTGAGGTTTGCAGGAGGGGAGGCATGCTTACTTGAGTAGAGCACACCTGCTATTTCTGTACGCTCAGTGGAGCTAATGGAAGCAGGAATAACCCCTCCCTTGCTGCATTATAGGTGTGCAGTGGTCCTTTGACCTTGAGGAGTGTCCCCATCAAAGCCAAAACACTGCTGGAATCATGCCTCTGCTCACCTCCCACTCATTAAGGGTCCAATGGCTTGTCTGAATTATGCCATTCCACCACTTGAGCCAGATGGGCTGCCTGGCAGTATTTCAAAAAGTATGGGAAGCCCAGATTGTTTCAGGAAAATGATCCTGAATTATATGAATTTGTCTAGACCTGTCACGTGCCACCATTTCATTTCTGGCTTAGAGTGTCCTTTTAACCCAAGGGTGGCCAAAGGTAGGTACACAGATGTTTGCTGCTCCTGCATTTATCGCAACACAAAATAAATTAAATAACTGCTAATTACCATACTACATAAGGGCAGTGATAGTGTGCTTTTAATATTCTACCAAAAAGACAGGTTTGTTTTTATGTGAAAAATGGCTTACTTCAAGATATAGTGTCTTTCTGCATAGTAGGTAGTACAGACGATAACCCTTTATTTTTTATTTTTTATTATTATTAAATATCCCTGTGAGTGATTGGAGTTGCACCCCCAAGCCTTCATTAACCTTATATTTCTGTGATCTGTGAATGATTAGAGTTGCACCCCCAAGCCTTCATTAACCTTATGTTCCCCGAGTGAATTACCCCTAAAACTCTGTTTACACTGCTGTACGTTGGATCATTGTAGCCTTGAGTATAGCAGTGCACCTGGCACTGTCATCATAGACAGCAGTATAGTGAATCTATGGTCTTTGTAATGCAAAAAAATCAACATATGGCTATAATGACCGCAACATACTTAAAGCCAATATTTTCAAGTCAAATTCTTTTGTCTGCAGTGAACAGGCTTCACTTTAATAAGCTACTATTCCTGCCTGATATTTAATTAAATTTGCTCTTCAGCCTTAAGTTTACACTATACATGAGGACTTCCAGCGTCACCAGAATCCGCTTAGGAAAACATTGAAAAATGCTTTCCTATAGTTAATTCTAATGCGAGCGCGGCCATTGCCGCACATGCACATTAGGTCTCCCTGGATGACGTCAGCAGGGGAGGAGGATGGGGGCGGTACCCTTTCTGCACCACGAGGTCGGGGGGGGAGGGCCTTGACAGAGGGGTGAGCTATAGTGCCAGGAAAACAAATGCCACCAAACCTCAATGAACTAAAGCAACGCTGTAAAGAAGAGTGGGACAAAATTCTCTACAACAATGTGAGAGACTGATAAAGTCACACAGAAAACGTCAACTTCACGTTATTGTGGCTAAAGGTGGACGTACAAGCTATTGAATCATTATGTGTTTTTCACACACGGCTTCCCGTTTTGACTTTATTTTTAATAAATAAATCATGACACTTGTAATATGTAGTGTTGTTGTTCATCTGAGGTTGTATTTACCAAATTTTAAGACCTGCTAAGGAACATATGATTGTTATTATGTAAAATATAAAACCATAGAATTCAAAGAGGGTGTATGTTCTTTTTCCCATGACTGTATACACACACGTTTATACATACGTATACACATTCACATAGGAGGCTGATATTGCATTCTGCACCTATGACATAATGCGTGTCCAGACCCTTCTTACCTCATTCACTCAATGGACGCTATCCAGGAGCTCACAATGATATATACAATGTTTGGTGCAGGATTATATACAGTGAGTTCAGCAGTTTCTAAATGTTAGCTGAATGTAGCAGCATATTTGTGTTTTATTTTTTATTCCTCTTTTTTTGTAGCTTGTTTAAGACAGTACATTTATTGAACATCTGAAGAAGAGGCACAGCCACATGCACTTTGTAAAGTCCTGATTTAATGTGCGCAGAACTTCTTTTTTGTAACGCTGCATGATAATGAGTTATGTTCTAGTGTTTCCTAATCCTCAATGCTGTATAACATTTAGATAACATAGCATTACTGGGAGATGAATGTGTTGTAATCATTACCATCACTGCAGGGGCCAGCCACTCTGTGGACCCCAGCAACCGGGTACCAGCCGTCATGTTTTGCGGCCCCAGTACGCGCGCCGCACATTCGAGAACCCATCAGGTGGCTCATGCTGTTAGGGCCACCTGATGGGTATGGATTTCCAGGGGGCCCAGTCAGTACTGCTGCGCTTTAACCTGCCCATCACTCCTCCCAGCTATCCGAGAGCCGCGCAGGAGGAAGGAGAGGGAGTCAGAGTGGGAACTCCCATCAACCTGAGCCACCACTGGACCCCAGGGAAAGTCACCCTTCTGCACCTAAAAGGTAGGAAACAGGAGGGTGACAAACATTATGTACATGTGTGTGTTTGTTTGTATGTGTGTGTATGTCTGTCTGTATGTATGTGTGTCTGTATGTATATGTGTGTGTCTGTCGGGGGGGAGGAGCGGGGGGCATGGATCAGTTTTGCATCGGGGCCCCATGGATTGTCAATCACTACTTTTATGACCTAGATTTACAGGCAGAGTTCAAGTGAGAAAGCTGTAATGTGGATGTTAAGGTACTCACGCGTTGGCTGTTTGAAAACACAAAACAACACCTGTCACTTACATACATCCTTTACTTGTTGTCTGTGTTGACTGCCAACCTTGCACGGTCATTTATGTGTATTCACAGCTGGTTTTCGTAAGAAGGACCTTGTGATGTCACTGATGATGTTGCAAGATCTACCAAATGCGCATTGCCTTTTCCAGCATTCCTAGGGATCTGACACTGATTGGTTAAATATGGGACAAGATGGGATGTGATACAAGACAGTAGGTATATTAAATACACAAGGGGGTGGTAAAATATTTACACCAGCTCTGCCTTGAAGCAGTATAAGTGGTGTTTCTATTTCAGTTTACACATTATATATATATATATATATAGTCACCTAAAACCTTTCCTTGAATTTCTTTACCAAATACTAACAGGGTTATTGACTAAACACTGAAATGAAATTGAAAGTGCAAAATTAAGGTTAAAATATCCAAGCAGTGACAATAGCTAAATCAGAGAATGTTTCACCTATAGTTGCCTAAATTTTATATCAGTTTGCTACAATTCATAGATTAGAGAATAACCCCCACAATTATTCTATACTGGCTATGACTTTAAACAGAGTGCATTGAAAAACAAACTGTGATATTTTGCTTGTAAGGCTGTGTTAATAAATGTGGAAGTTGACTTATTTTATGCTTAGCAAATCAGTTTTCAGAGAACATGTAAAGAGATAAGTAAATGGAAATTCCTGAATGACAAAGAATTTCCCATCCATAGTGCTGACTAAAAATAAAATGTTTCCACTGGAACAGGATAGCATGGTTTAATTTTCCATCATAGTTTTTTTACAGGATGTTTGTGATGAACTGTGATAGAATGAAGATGTACAATATTAGTTATGAGCAGTTTATTCACTTAAAGGGACAATAAAGTCACCAGAACAACTACAGCTTATTGTATTTGTCCCGGTGAGTATAATCAGTCCCTTCAGGCTTCTTGCAGTAAACACTGTCTTTTCAGAGACTTGTGCTGGCTATGTCCCTGATCTGCCTCCTTGACGAGCTCAGCCAATACACTGCGGGAAAGCATTGTGATTGGCTCAGATAACCACTTCTGATGATGTCAGTCAAGAAGGCAGATCAGGGGAGAGCCAGCAGCAGACTGGAATAAAGGTAAGATTTTACTATATTGAGGGTGGCAAGGGAGGGGGTGGGGGTAGGGGGGTAATGGGGCTAGATGGTGTTTTAACACCAAAGGGTCAGGAATATATGTTTGTGTTCCTGACCCTATAGTGTTCCTTTAACTGTGCATTGCGTTGTATTGCTATGCCTGGTAATCTCTTGTCACCTGGCAATTTGCCTGTTATTTCACTCTTTTTATTGAATAAACACCTATAGCTCATAGTTCTACATAAGTGTATTTTACTTTTAACAAATTATCTTTCTTTCTTTTCTATTGTGGGTTTTCTAGATTTAGACAAAAAACTATATGTAAACTACCCCAAAGAAGGAGAGACCACACAACGCTGCATCCACTTAAACCTGGAGCAGAGCAAACAAGGGACACTCCTCAAAGTAAACAGAGTCCTAGAGCGACAAAGGCATTTACATCCTTGATTTACAGAAAAGCTAATAAATCTGACTCATTGAGTAGTATTATGAAATAAGGTCCTCATAGTACAGAAGTTGAAATAAATCCATTCTATATACAAAAAAGCATAAAAAGTATAGTTTGGTAATATAATGCAAATGGCAAATTCAGTATTTTATTGAATCTATAGATACAGAGTCCCAACAAAATCAAGAAAGGCAAAGGTTGATATGATCAGTTTCTATTTATGTTTGTATTAACTGACAAAGGGTGTAAGCAGGGCCGACCTTAGGGGTGTGCAAGCTGTGCGGCCTCACAGGGCTCCATGTGGCTGACACAGCTCACACATGTGCAGCTACCTGGGTGGAGTATTTCAGAATTCTCCACCTGGGACTATCAAAAGTAAGAACATGGCATCGGGGGCAGAGCTTGCCGAATTTCAGGTGCATGGCTTAATGAGCGGTGGAGGTGGGGTCTCTGGCAGCGGGGACGGAGTTACAAGCGCCCAAAAGCAAAAGCTTCACAGTAAGGGGGAAGCAGGAAGGAGTGTGCCTGTAACTGTATGTGACTGACTGTTTGCCTGTGTGTTTGTGTGTGTGTGACTGTCCGCCTGTACCTGTGTGTTTCTGTCATTGTCAGCCTGCAACTGTGTGTGTGTGACAATCACACACATAGTTAGACAGTCACACACACACACTCACACAGTGGCAGGCAGACAATGACAAACACACACAGGTACATGCGGACAGCCACAAAGACGGTTGCGGGCGCGCACACACACACACAGTCAAACTATGTGTGAGTGACTGTCTGCCTGTAATGATGTGTGAGTGGCTGCATGTGTGTATGACTGTATGTATGACTGTAACTGTGTGTGTGTCAACCTGTAAGTGTATGTATGTGACTGTCTGTGTGGCTTTATGTATGTGACTGTCTGCCTGTGTGTGTTTGTCATTGTCTGCCTGCAACGGTTTGTGTGAGTGGCTGCATGTGTGTGACTCACTGTAACTGTGTGTTTGACCATATACCTGTAACTGTGTGTGTGACAACGTGCCTGGAAGAGTGTGCATGTGGCTGTAATTGACAGTGTATATGTATAACTGTGGGACTGTGTGCTCATGTGACTACAAAAATATACAATTGCATTCACAAATAGAACATGCATATTTTTATCTGAGTTAAGTACCCATCACACACAGCCAATAAACCCAGCACAAATGTCACACACTGCCAATGCACACATATATCACACAGTTAATACACCCATTACAAATAGCACACACAGCCAATACATAGCATACATATCACACACAACCATAACGCCTAACACACACACAGACAACACACACACACTACATCATAAAATAGTGAGATTTATTACAGAAGAGCTCTGGCATACAAAATGCACATTACTCTGTTTTTATAGCTGGAGAGCTCTGTGATACACTAATAGGCACATTACTGAGAGTTGTAATGTTGTGGAGCTCTGTGACAAGCTCATACACAACACATTACTAAGAGTTGTATTGTTGTGGAGCTCTGTGACAAGGGGGGATTTTTCGCACAGGGCACCTAGAAGCCTAAGGCCGGCCCTTGGTGTAAGAACCACAGAGTGAGTGTGGATGCTCAAGTGTATGTTTCAACCTCAGTCTAAGGGTTAAAGACTAGCTTATTATGGTAGAATTACAAAGATGAAAAGTAGTCATATTTACTGTTTGGGAAATCATAGAAATTCAACACTAAAGTTCCATGATATCAAAAAACGAAGATAAACTAAATAGGAGAAATAACCCCCTAGAGGGTCCTCCTAAGGGAAATAGGAAAACAATTCTATTTTTATAAAGTTCCATGATGCCTGGGTCATTCCTGAGGTCCAGTGTAATAATCTGTGAAAGGGGTTAAACAGTTATTCTGATCTAATAAATGTAATATAAAAAATACAAGTCCATACTGAAATATGAACACACATTCATTTGAAAAGCTAAAATGTGATGTTTTCATAAAACACCCTTTCACTTTTTTATTATTACAGGTGATTTAGTTAGAGTGTGCAATGATCAACAAATCTGCTTTAAATTTAAATACTTTTTAGCAAACCTGGAACTTGTGATAGGATGCCACAATGGGAATTCTTGTTAACCACCGATAGACAGAAAGTAAGAGACCAGACCACACCAAAGTTATCAATTTCTATATTTAGTGCCTTTTTACAGTTTTCTTTTGTTAAACAAAACTTTTCTTTTAGTTTAATATACAAACTGGTTACAGTACATAAGCCTACATTAATTACATGTTTACTAGTTCAGTACAACAGGATCCCTGTAATCAGACTATCCTAAGTGCTTAATTCAATCCTGTTACATGGATCTTTACCTGACACACTAAAAAGCAGAAGATAATGAATGTGTTTAGGTCCCACTTAAATAATAATTCAGTTTTTTTTTTTAACGGAATGATTGAAAGAGCAATTAAATTTATTAATAAAAAATATACAAATTCATTGATACTGCAAACCCTAAATAACATGGATGTTACAATTTAAATCATGTAAAAAATGTAGGTGATCATACCGTACCTACTTCTTGGGGTGAATATGGAACATGCATTGTGCAGTTCCACAGTCTGCAGAAGGTACCTAGGACAAGCATCCCCCATTAAAGGGGAGGTATGGTCTTCTACATGAGCAGCATTGGTGTGATTTTAATGTTACAATATTAATGTTTTCTAGCAATTTGATGCATTTAGATCATGTGACCAAGTAATCCATTGGTGCGATTTGGCAAGATGTTGATGTGGCGTTTGTAAATAACAGACTGAAGTTAAGTTCAGGACATCAGTTTTGCTATTAAAAAAGAACAAAAACAATATTGACTGTAAATCAGGACTTGCCCGTTTGTGGTTACTTTAAATCAGGGATTTTAGCTGATGTGCTTGATGAAACATCACCGATGGGCAAGGGTCAAAGGACCAGACATTGTATAATGTGTGCAGGTGCAATCTTCTGGTGTATGAATGTAATAAAGCAAATTAGACTGTTTTGCATACAATGGGGCTGATGTATAAAAGTGTGTGTTAAATGCACTTCTTTTCACAATGAAACAATTTATGTCTGCAGATATCTGTGAAATAATTACTGATAGAAAAAAAAACTCATCAGCAAGTAAATAATATGTTATTGTTTAGGAATATCAGCAGGGCACTATGGGTGTAAATCAAAACATTTCCTCTAACATAACAAAGAAGTTGTTCAGCCCTCGGTTCTTGCAGACGACGAGAAAATGATTGTAGCGGCCGAATGACAGTAAAAGCAAAGACAACATGTTAATACATAACGTGTGTTAGGTCACTAAAATCCCATTTCATAAATTACTATTAGTCCTAAATATATAAAGATACCTTGAAAACGTGCATGCATTTAATTATACAAAAGAAGAATTTAAACTTAATTTGCTTGTTATTGATATTAAGAACCCCCTAGTGTTGGGTGTTAAGAATACAGTTAAACAGGAGAATTGATAGATACACTGAAATCCAGTTATAAGGACGACTGATTAGTTTGAGTGATCGCTTTTAAACCCTTAAGGACACATGACATGTGTGACATGTCATGATTTCCATTTATTCCAGAAGTTTGGTCCGTAAGGGGTTAAACTTCTGCACTCTGTCACTGTATCACTTACTCTTCTGGAATACTTGAATGTACTGTATGCACTTTGTCTACTGAAGTATCTTTATTTTTACATATAGGTCTTCCATTGGTAACACTGTATTTGACAGTTATTTATGAAATGGGATTTTAGTGAAAATAAAAGTTATATTTTAGCATGCTTTCTTCCTTTGGTTACTGTCAGCCAGACACCATTTCTCCTCTTCTAAAAATGTTCCTCCACTTAATAGAGAAAGAGCAGCAAACTGGCGTGATAAGACATTTATTACGCTCACTAGACTAACTGATATAAATGGGTGGCACTTTTAATTGACTGTTTAACACTAGAATACTGTGTCATCTATCTGGCATTATTGATACAGTAAAAATGTTGCAATTGTGCTCATGTTTTCCTATATAAAATCCAATCACATGCCTCTCTCTCTATAGTGTAAATATGCAAATGTGACCAAATGGGTGCTTCATCCTTGAAATGATGGTATCATTTATACATCTCCCCCACTGTTACAAATCCTCTCACATTAAACAGCTGCTCTCCTTGTGATACTTTGCACAAGAATTGCACCTGTTTAAACCTTGATGAAGCTCACTCTTATTATTTTACTGTACTGGTCACTTGAGGGATATTACCGAAACATAACATAACCTAGCATTCAGATCTATTATTTTGCTTTAGAGTCTGGGTCTACAGTCCTCGTTAAAAACGCCAAGTAACAAAATACATCACACTATCACAAAACAATACTAGGGGTTGGGTTAAGCATTATTTAATTATTAAACTAATTATTTTAGAAAGACAAAATTAAGAGGATAAAATGGAATGTGCATTTCAGTCCTCAACTCACAGTGCTGAACTGCAATAAAACTTAGCTGACATACCAATAATGGACAATCATATGTTTGACCTGGGCTGTCCAATTAGCAGCCTATGTGCAGGGTGCACGCCCTATTTTTTAAAAAATGTTGGTCCCTGTCCGGTCTGAAAATCCTTTGGATTTATTACCATTTTAACAGGTCAGGAATCCTCACTGAACTGCTTAATGATTCACGTTCCACCCAATCGAAATGCTGGACAACCCGATGAAGAATGATTGGTTATTATTAACCAACTAGGAATGTCAAGCTCCTTCTGTGATGTATACATGTGTTAACTTAAAAATGTGTTTTACATGAGGTAAAATGCTGAATACACAATGGAAACACCTGTTCTACCTCAAGAGTACTAGTGGTCATAAGAACTACTATACTATATAGATACAGTAAAAATAGAGAGTTCTCTTATTTACAGAGTACAGCAATCAAGGTGGTCAATTACACATTACCTTATAGTCAGTCTGGTGTATGTATTTAGTCTGGAGGACAGATAATTATGGTTATCCAGTAGAGGTTAATGGAGAGCTTGGCAAGAGTTCTTTTTAGTTGGAATAATTCTAAAACATATGCTTTACAAAATAACAGTCTTTGGGTGCCAGATAGTGTAAGTAAGATAATTGTTAATATGTTGTCCAGAATATTGTAATTTATTATATGCCTTTTCTCATGGTGCAGTTTGTCTTACATGACATCATGGAAGGAGATCTGATGTGACAAAAAGTTCTAGGTAACCAGTAATGCCCCAAACAACTTATGCTCATTAGATTGAGCATACGATTATATCTCTACATTGTGCTACCGTGTTTCTCCGAAAATAAGACCGGGTCTTATATTAATTTTAGTCACAAAAAACACACTAGGGCTTATTTTCAGGGTAGGGCTTATTTATTTACGGTATGTACATTGAACCCCCCCTTTAATTAATCCACCACCCCTTTAATTAATTCACCACCCCTTTAATTAATTCACCACCCCTTTAATTAATTCACCCCCTCTAATTAATCCAGCCCACCCTTTAATTAATTCACCACCCCTTTAATTAATTCACCACCCCTTTAATTAATTCACCCCCTCTAATTAATCCAGTCCACCCTTTAATTAATTCACACCCCTTTAATTAATTCACCACCCCTTTAATTAATTCACCCCCTCTAATTAATCCAGCCCACCCTTTAATTAATTCACCACCCCTTTAATTAATTCACCCCCCTCTAATTAATCCAGCCCACCCTTTAATTAATTCACCCCCTCTAATTAATCCAGCCCACCCTTTAATTAATTCACCACCCCTTTAATTAATTCACCCCCTTTAATTAATTCACCCCCCTCTAATTAATCCAGCCCACCCTTTAATTAATTCACCACCCCTTTAATTAATTCACCCCCTCTAATTAATCCAGTCCACCCTTTAATTAATTCACCCCCCTCTAATTAATCCAGCCCACCCTTTAATTCACCCCCCTTTAATTAATTCACCCCCCACCCCCTTTAATTAATTCAGTCCCAGACATAAAATATCTACCGGTACTCACATTTCAAAGTTTCCTTGCCTCACCGCCCGGAAATGGATCCTTCCGCTGAAGATCCGTGAAGGCAGACTGACGGCGCTGCGAAATGTCGTCATCACGTTGCGCGATGCCGCGGCCCGCAACGCTCCTCCTACAGTAGAAGAAGGAAGTCTCGCCGCAAAGGTACAATGCCTAGGTCTTATTTTCGGGGTAGGGCTTATATTGCAGCCCACCCCGAAAATCCGACTAGGGCTTATTTTCGGGGTAGGGTTTATTTTCGGGGAAACACGGTAGTAGAACAACTGACTAAAACCTTTAATTATACTGTGTCGCAAGGGTCTTTCCCTACTGAAATGCTACAAGCTAATCTATTACCAATCCTAAAACAAGGGGAAATTCAACAGAAGTTGAAAGCTATAGGCCAATTTCTTGATTAATGGAGATACAAAAATATTCTCTGCAAAAATATATTAAGTTCTATAATACATTCAGATCAAATTGGTTTTGTACGAGGAAGAAGTGCCTCATAATACAAGCAGAATAATTGATATTATTGAATCTTTCACAAGAAAAAAAAAAAAAAAAGTCCCCTTGCTGACCCTGTTGATTGATGCTGAGAAAGTGTTAGACCTGGGATGCAGGTTTAGATACATTTGGCCATTATGGCTTTATATACAACACCTTTAGCAAGAGTAGTGGGATCATATTTATGTTAAAATGAATTTTCGCTTAGTATGGGAATTAGGCAGGGATGTCCCGTCTCCACTCCTTTATATTATGTCCATCGACTCCATTTCAAACAGTATAAGAAATAATAAGAACATCAAGGGATATAGATGTAAAGGGAACAAAAAATATGTATGCGGATGATCTACTGATTACAATTTCAGAGCCGAACAGGTCACTAGAATATTTTATGAAAGAGAAAAATATGGACAAGTAGCAAACTATAAAATTAACATCGATAAAACAATAATGGATCTTAATGTAAATAGTTTAAAACAAGATTAGATCTAAATATAGTTTTACTTGAATGAGAAAAAAAAAAAATATGCCCTATTTATGAATAAAATTATCAAGGGATTTGAATATTAGAGAAATCCACTTCTTGTCACTCCATCACAATTTGTTAAAAAATTGATCAATATAGAAACATCTTGGATGCGAAGAATATAATTATTTCATATATTCTCCCCAAATCGCAATATATATTTAGGATAATTCCTCTAAATTTTTCAAATTGGTGACTAAGTTTGATTCAAAAGAGTATTACAAACTTCATCTGGCGAGGGAAAAAAAAAAAAAAGACTTAATCAAAACATTTTAGCACAAAGTAAGTTAAAGGGAGGAGTTTAATTCCAGTTAGACTATTTTTCGGCTAGCATGATATACCATATATAATACTCAATTAAACAAACAAGAAGAAGCAGCATGGTATCGAATTGAGACCGAATCTTGCTATCTAAAAAGGATCTAAGTTCTCCGCTATGGCAAGCAAAAGGACTTGAATAAGATTAATGGCCAGAAACTCCAGCACGGTTTTAGTTTCACCTTGTTGGTTTCTGGATTAGATTAAAAAACAAATGTAGTATATTGAACCAGATACCTGAACATATCCATTTAGCTTCTTTGGAACATTATATTATGGACTTGGATTTGAAGAGGTGGAGACAGAGGGGCATAATAAAAATACGGCAAATTTTAATAGCAAGAAAAGTAAAACCTTTTCCACAGATTGTTCAATAATACCAAATTACAGGATCAGAGATATTTAATTATCTAAGAGTAAAAAAATTCTATAACGTCTAATTTACTGAAAGACAAATCAGGCATAACAGACAAACCTATCAATATTTTAAATTATGATTCAACATCTAAAGTTTTGTCTAAAGGTATGGATCTGTTGAAAACGATGGAAATATCACAAACATTCCCCGTTTTCCAAATATGGCAAAAATACATAAATTGTACTATAAATATGAAAGAATGGTCTGAGGCATGGATAAAGGTTAAAAAAGTAATGCACCGTACCATACCCTAAGGTTAAAAAAGACCCCAACGACCGGGTCACGGTGTGCCAACAGCCTGGACAAGGGGAACACACACAAGAAGATATACTTACCCTGACTCTAGTAGCTTCACCACACATGACATGCCACATCAAAGAAACTACCAGGGTCAAAGCAGAACGTTACCCTCACATGTTACCCGATAACCACACAGGGAAGCTAAGTCAATACACCCCACAAACGAAGGGACACGGTCCTCCCCCAACCACACGGACACACACACACACGCCGACATCTAACGGCTTAGGGTACCCACACGCTACTACACTCACCACCTGAACTCCGGCAAGCGACTGCAGACAGAATTAGGGACGGCCTGACGGCCGTAATCCCGCAACTCAGACATGTTACACGACAAACTGACATTACTTTATCGGAACACAATGTTTTGTGCTCCTCTATCTGTCCACTCGATACTAGTTTTCTTTTGATAGTTTACGTTTTCAAGTTATGAGCCATCTGACTAGGATACCTAGGGACCTTCATATCTTATTTTATGCCTTGCTCATGAGAATCTAGGCACCTCACAAGACCTAATAATGTAAAGCAGGTCGAAAACCTACGAGTTCCCACCAATCTATTCACATGTTATGCAATAAAAACTGTAACAAATTATCAATATAAATAAAAAAAAGAAAAAAAAAAAAAAAAGAAAAAGAGTGCAACACATGGGACAAAGGTACTCATTATTAGCTGTTTGGAATGCGTGGGACCTGCGAGTCCGCATCGTTCAATGGGGCCTTCGAGCCCAAAAGCAAATACTTTATGTTGTTGTTTCCAGGGACCTGCGAGTCCCATCCCCCCACCCCTTGCCTATTTTTGTTGAAAATACGTTGCAAATACATTAATAAAAATCATATTTAAAAAAAAAAAAAAAAAAGTAATGCACTTGATCCCGGTCCACACCCTGGGGCTCAGAACGCGGAGACAAAACCCGAGCCTAGCGACATTACCAACCTGCGATGTGGCCCAGGCGCATCAATCAAAATGGCGGATGCCAGGAGAACCAAAGCCAGAGGGAAAGAAAGCCCTCACTTCGAAGCTGCAGCAAGCATGGTGGCATTCAGGCACAAGATAGCCCGATGCCCGCCACCACAAACAACAAGCACTCACTGCGACATCAAGACAAGATGCCTACCCCTCCAGACGCAACGCAAGACCGTTGCTCCAAAACCGTGGCAGGCCCGAAGCGGAAGGAAGGGTCGGAGGCACAGCAGGCCAGAGTGCACATTACAACACAGGCTACAGACACCCAAAAAACGATGTACCCTCAAGATGCAGTAGGGAGCAGATCCCGCAAGCGAGATACAGCACTGTCCACATGGGATCCCTATTGCCGACAAAGCACACAGCGACATCCTCTCCAAAATAGAGGGACATTTCTCCGACTTATGGCAGAAATTAACACGCCTTTTGCTCCAGCCCTCTCTACCACACAAAGAAGCCTACTTACCCAAAAGCTCTCCACCTAAGCACCTAAGAAGATCAGTGCCGAGCCTCAAAATGGCGCCGAAGACATCACCCAAGCGCACTCAAGCAGGACCACAACCACGACCTAAAAAGCTGAACAGTGCGACACGCAAGTCACGAACCCCAACCTACCGGAGCATAGGCGATGTCAGGCAGTGGGCCCCTGCACTCAGAGACTGTGTCGTGTCCCCTGCTGGCATAGGCTGAGTCTGTCCCTGAGACTGATCCGCGAGGGGTAAATTCCAAGTAGCACGCCACAGCAGACCAGCTACGAGACTGTAATGTTATGTGCAAATATTCAATAGCATGTGTGGTTAATACTCATGATACGTATTTAATAGTCTCTATGCCCACTGGCCCCCATGGCGTTATTTTACTTATCATTTCGTTTGCATTGTTATTAAGCGTTATCTTAATTATCATTTTGTGAAACGTTAATCCAGAGGCAGACTCTAAGGCATCCCCACTAGCGCAAAATCACAGCAACTGCTTAACTAAATATCCTCAGAGCAGTTAGCTCGACCCCAGGAGTCTACAAAACTACTCCTATCTCCTCAGAATGCCACTAGACAACTAATATTTTAAGTTTAACAAATGACATATCACCGAACAGCAACTAAATAAGCAACCACAGTAGTGACTTAACTAGCATGTACCTTAACGTATGGTTCATATCTAAGCAGTCATACTCCTGTTATACCCATCTATCTGGTCTATGAATGTTTGTCGTGGCATTATATATAATAGACAATACATTGAGAATAAGCTTACTAAACTGTATATTTAACATAAAATTGTGCACGCAAGAACATACCCATTACTGTTATAAATTTATGAAAAGCATGAGGAATGCCGTTGGGGTACCCCATGCACGCTGTTATATCATATGCACTATAAAAATAAAGAATTATAAAAAAAATTAAAAAATAATGCACTGTATAAACTGGGCAGAAATACAATTCAAAGTAATACAAAAGGTGGTATCTAGTACAGACAAGATTTAAAAAAAAAAAAAGTACCCTGAATGCTCACCACTATGTTGGAGATGTAACCAGGTCAATGGAACGGTGATAAAATTGTTAACACTTGGAAAAAGATTTCTCTTTTTATAAAAACCCATACCAATTTAATTTTAATTTTACTCCAGAATTAGCTCTTTTGCACCTGAATTGGCCAAAACTAAACAAGCTATGTTTTTTCATCATACAATGTTTTTTGGCCGTAAAGATTGCAATTGCGCATAGTTGGAAAAACCCTTTAGCGCCACTCTGGTCGAATATACATAAATAGTTAATATACCAAATTAAAATGGAAATGAACATCAGGAAAACCCTAGGATGTAGATCCAAAACAACCAAAATATGGAGAGAAAAAACGGGCAAATAAATTAGATTTAGAAAACATTAATGAACCCTGAATGTTGAAAAAAAACGCTTTGAAATCTTAAAATAGGTTAAGAATAAACTGGTTCTAATTACAACTCCCCGGGACGCTCCTCCTCGACAGCGGATTGATTTGGTCTTAAATGTAAAGTCCTGCATTTTTAATATGTATATTGTACTGTGTAATAATCATTTTTATGTAAGTCATTAATATTCTTTTTATGAAGGTCATTATGGATTTGCCGATGATGAAACGCGTTAACAGTGGTTAATGTAGATATAAATACTCAGATATAATCAATTCCTGAATAAGAGGAACAGAAAACAAGAATTATTATATATATAAAGAAAGGAGGAAAGAAGGAAAAAAGAAGAGGGGGGGAGAAAAGAATTTATATATATATTTCTTTGTTTGTCAATTGTAACACTAATAATTATGAAAACAGGCTTAATATGTTTAATAAGAAATAGTGCAATATTGTATGTATTGTGTGTCTTGTTAATGGATCTTTTGGATCTATGTTTTGATCAAAAAACAAACAAACAAAAAAAAAAAAACGTGCTCAGCATGTAAGAGAACTAGCGACAAGAAAGACACACACACACAGTGTTTAAATCATACGTATCAGGAGAAACCTGTAGGCACGAGCACCTGCTCTGGTGTCCTTGTGGGCTCCAGTACGTGGGGATGACTACCAGAAGCTTTAAGACCCGCGTGCTGGATCATATGGGAAACATCCAGAGAGGGTACACTAAACATAGTGTGTCTGCACATTTTCTTGAAAAACACAACAGCAACCCTTCCCTTTTAGCTTTTATGGCTTTTTTTTTTTTTTTTTTTCTAAAGTATGTTGTTAACTGGAGGGAAGAGGATAATTTTAAAGAGCTGAATAACATTGAGAGTAGATGGATTTTAAATTTGGATACTTTGTCCCCAGGGGGACTTAATGTAGACTTTGAGTTAATCCATTTCCTCTGATACAGTTTTAAAGAGAGAGGGACTCATATTATATATATATATATATATATATACACATATATATATATATATATATATATATATATACACACATATACACACATATATACATATACACACACACTTTAATTTTTTTAATCTCTTCTATTCTGTTTATATTTTTACTTTAATTTTATTCTCTCAATTTTTAGAGTCCTTTACTCCTCTCCATAAAACATTTTTTTCTATGCACCATTTTAACATTCCTTCTTGTTTTTTTGCATTTTTTTTATGACATTGTAGGATGTAATTATTGTCTTTTTTACTATATTCCTCATGTGTTCTCTATACATATATTTTATGATGTTTGTAATACAGATTTCCCTTTTTCTTTGTTTTATTATTTATGAGTTTTGATCGTTGTGATATAAATCTTATAGGACACTTTTTTCCCATAATCATGTGGTTTATCTAGCTTAGGATGTGTGCAATATTAACATCGCCTAGTAATAGGAGCATCGGAAGTGACACATCGGCGAAACAAGTGATGTTCCTGCCGATACAACGGAAATTAACTTCAGCTAATGAACATCACTCAATTTTAACAGGGTATTTGAAGACTACTCAGCACTGAAGAAGGCTAATAGCCGAAACGCGGTTGCTGTAACTTTGGGATTGGACTTTTGATGCGGTGACATTTTCTATGTATTTATGCATGGCTTTATTTTTTAGCCCTAAGTTCTGCAATTCCTTTTATTTTAATATATTTGTATCTGATAAATCTCATTTTAATCCTCTATCCGGCATTCCTGTCCCAGTATCGTTTCGCCTGCATAGGCACCCCATATGCGGATTCTGTAGAGCCTGGCACAGCTCTTGATTTGCAAGTTCTAATCCTCGTACTTTGTTCATACTCTATACCTGGTTATATACAGAAAGCACTATGATTATATTTATCTTTACAGATATATTGAACCAGTGTATGATTAAGTATACCTTGTGTGTTCACTTTGGGTGTATAATTTTTCCACTTTAGCCTGATTTGATTTGGAGGTGATGGGGAATACACCTTTATTACTTTTCCCATCTTTGGAAGTGCCAACACATACTATTGTTTTGTTTTCTTGTAAAAAGATAGTTTGCCAATTAAGGTCTAAAATATTAAATTCATTTTCAAATCCAGATAATTCACAGTTTAGTAAATAACGGAGTGTTGTCTAAAACACCTAAAGTATTTACGGCCACTTCCAACCACAGATTTGCGGCACTGATCTACACAGATCTGACTTTCCAGGCTTGGGAATACATTTCAAACAGATTCTAGCCCAATCGCTTCATGCTGTGATTTTATCTTTCAACACTGGAAATTTGCCCGGGTCAGAGTGTAATTTGTTTCCAACTAAGCCTAAATACAATACATAATTTGTAGCATCAGAAAATCCTCTTTGAGCATCTCACGTGCACACACACGACCAGTCGATGTGGGTTTTTCCCCACAAACAAAAGCCACCACGTACAAAAATCTATATTTATATTAAGTTATCACAACAAATCTAAAATATCCAACTTACAGGTTAAATAATAATAATAAAAAAAAAAAAAAAAAAATCCAGAATTTCTTGTTAAAAACATTATAATATAAACAGCTGAAGTTTGTGTATTCTGGCTTAGTATAAAAATTAGAATTTTTTTTAAAATTATTTTTTATTATTATTTTTTCCCTCCCAGGAGAATCAGTGCTTAACCCTTCCCACTCACAGCATCTGCATACTTTGCAAGATGTGCGAGCGTGTGAGTTAGTTCATAGATATTTCCATTGGGTATTCCTGTTGTCGTACAGATAGATCTGTTAATTCTCCACATGTGTCAACAGCCTGTGGAGTCCATAGTAAAAGTAAAGTCCAGATGCATAAAGACTGCAGGTCACACTACAGCACAATGTAATGGGAATATTTCCCACTGGTATCTGAATGCATACAGCAGGGTCTCTGG